TTTTCGTTTTGTAGCTCCGACCCAGTGGGCCTCCACGCGTTTTGCTCTGGTTCTCCTCCTTTTTGAGCTGTGGCCTAAGCAGAGGATTACCGAGGCCCGTTAAGGTGGTTTCAGTGGAAAGACACACAGCTCCCCTTCCCGCATGGAGGGAAAGGCAGCAGGCGGAACACTCGTGAAAAGCGCGTCCACAAACTTGACCGTGCACTTTGATTGTACTAAAAAGACGAGTGGAGGCGAACCGAAATGACTCAGACCTATTTTTTATTATTTTCTATTATGTTTCTGAGTCCCGCCCAGAGAAGAATCCACAGCGGTCGCCTGGCGGATCGAGCTGCACCTCGCCGCCTATTGTTTGCATAATCAATGGCTTCCGATGCGACATGGCTAATGCAGCCCGCGGGTGGATCGGGTGTAGTCGAGACATGTCGAGCGTCTGGAGCCCGAGTCCGCGCGGAGGCGGGGGGGGGGGGGGGTGGCTCGCCTGGAATGGGGGCCGAGCAGGTTGCCTTTTGAGAGGCGTCCATGAAAGGGAAACGGGCTCGTCGGGCCGCCGCCGCTGTTTTAGTGCTTTCTACTTGATTCATTTGGCAGTTACACGTTGTTCTGACGGGCGCCTCGCGGCCCCCTGGGGAGGTCGCCCGCTCACCTGTCAGCACAGCAGCCGATCAGATAGAACTTAAAAAAAAAAAAAAAAAAAATAAAGCGCACCTGGGAAATGCAGGTTGATTTTATTTTAAAAAAAAATATATATATATATATTTCAGTCGTGTGCAGAGCGAGGAAACATCCTTTGTTCGATCTGTGGCCCGAGGCGTTCGCCCTCACCTCCTTTCCTTCCCTCCGACCAACATCAACTCTGAGCTGCTTCCTCACGTCGAAAAACAAGCCGAAGGGCAAAGAGGCTTTTAAACGCACCGAGAGTAACAAAGTAACACTTTGCTTGAAGATGCAGAAACCAGATAGGCGGTGACTTCTCCCGCTCCCCTGCGCTCTAGCTGGTGGCGCTGGTAGGCGGCTAACGATATGTGTGTCTTATTAATGGCTGCTGATGAGCTGAAATGGTAGACTCTCTGCAGAAGCTTTAATACAGACCTGCCGGCTTGATTTACGACCCGGGCCACACGGGCGCTGCCTACAGGCCACGGGTCTGGTGACATCACACTCCTCTTCTCATTGCTGTTTTTACTGCAATGTGATTAGGATTCTTATTATTTATTGTGCTCGTCTATAAGACACATGACTTATCACAAGACGGGGTCGGACGTAGTAGTTGTACCATACGCAGAGGTCCATGCAGATAGCATCAGAGAGCAGCCATTGCTCGAATCGTGAATGCGTGAAAGCGGAGAGGAGTTCGCCACGCTGGCAGCGGATCTGATGGTTCTGACACGGGCCGACGCTGGCGCGGCGCTCTACCGTTTGACATCAAAGCAGCGGCTCGCCTCAACTATGAACCACGGTTGTTAAAACCAGGAAATAGCCATTTGGCGTGCTGATTGTCCTCGCTTTTAAAGGGACTCCGGTTAATGTGGTTTCTGGCAGAAAACTCGGACACACACACACACACACAGAGGGAGCGAGGCGCAGAGGACACGCCGCGCGCCCGCCGGCGTTAATGGCGCAGGCATGCGGCGCGTGCGCTGGACGCCACGCGGTTCAACACAACTCGGCGATTACGAGAGCATGTGACGGGGCCTTTCCGTCTGCACTTGATTTGATTGTCACGTGGCGCTCGACCACAGCACATTATCATTATCTCTGTTGTGTGTGTGTGTTTGTGCAAGGTGTGCGTCTCTGGTGCCCTTGACATGACGTCTGTGTTCGTACTCCGTAAAGAGAGACACAATTTTCCACCTTTTCTCACTATTTATTTTTGCTTTTGGACTATTTACGGCGGTGGATGAATTGCAAGTTTTTTTTACTGAGTATTTACAGTTTTTGTGGGATCGACTAAAAGGAAAGTACATTGTGAATATGTTGTACTGAAGGAACACGTCCCAAAGTGCAACGCTGCAGCTCTCTGATGTTTTAACTGAAGTCTGAAGTCACAGAGAAACTCTTAATAGAAAACGAAGACCATTCGTACCCGTCACTTCTATCACCTCAAAACCTGCACAAGAGGACGTATGCGACACTCTCCGACGCGGCGCACACTTCGTATCCACCCGGCTGTATGTGCGCGTGGGGCCAAACACATCAGACCCCCCCCCCCTCCACCCCCCCGCTGGCTGCCTCTCCTGTCACCGACGCAACTGCGGGGGAAAACAAAGACGCCGCCTTTCTTAAGGACCACCAAAATAAATAAAATAAAGAACTGGGACTGACTTTAAAGGCTGCGGCTGACAGCTAAATGCTTTTGTTATCCGAATTGTTTGAACAAAACCTGCAGCCCTGCGGGAATCAACGTACGACTGTGTGCGCGTCTTAATTTAACATCTGCGCGTGTGTGTGTGTGTGTGTGTTCGAGCAAGGGAGACCTCTGCCATTGTTGAGTTTTTACATCCTGACAACTGGGAGCCTGACGGGATAAAAATAACCCAGTGCTTTTCCAATTTTCCTATCTTTTGGGACTGCTTCTTGCAGCTGTTTTTTTGATTTTGCGTGCGTCCCCCCCCTCCCGGAACGCTCAGGGTCACCGGCGGGGCCACTTCCTGTCGCATGTTTTCTGATTGTGGTGCACGCAACTGTCCCGTGACATACTGTGAACATACTCCTACATGGGGCTCCGTCGTGCTGTCGTGCTTTGGAATCGCACACCAGGCGGCCCGTCAGTGACTGACAGCGTTTTTCTTCTTTTATCCCAGAATTATCTCTTCTTTGACGAGCTTTAGAAGATAAGTTGGCTTCGTGAAGGGTTCTGCACACGCCGAGAACAGATTTAGGCCACCAGCGCAGAAAGAAATGAAAACAAATCATCATCCTGGTTTTGTGAAAGGGTGCCGTTATCAATTCTGACGTCTCTGCAAAAAAAACCCAATCAGCGTTTAAACGTGGGAACCCCGCGAGCCGCTCCTTCGGGTTGTTTGTTCCGTGTGCATGTAAAAACTCCCAGCAAAGCATTTTGAGTTTCTGTGCCCATTTAACTAAGCAAACAGCCCATAATAGATATGCTTGCTATGCAAACAGCGGGTTATGTAAACCAGCCGAGCAACCGCCCCCCCCGCCTCTCCGGTGTCACAGGATCACACGGAGGAGCACGCAGTTTGGGTGGGGGTCAAACGGGCAGGTTGTTGCACACAATGTCTGTGTGTGTGTGTGTGTGTTTGTGTGGGGGGGGGGGGGGTGGCGGGCGGCGGTCTAATTGCTATAGCTCAGCACCGCCACGTCACCGTGTGAAAAAGTGCGGATGTCAGAGCAGCTGGGGCTCCGCCCACTTTTGAAACAACCCACTGTATCCGTTTACAGAAGAACAAATGACCCCCGTCCCTGTCCGTCCTCCCCCCCTGTCCCTCCGTCTCCCCGTCCCCCTGGCACGGTATCCTCGCAGCGGCGGTTTCTTCTCGTGACACGGACATCCAGCCCAGCGTCCTCTCGTCCAAACTTAGCCCGGGCGAGCGTCCAATCCGACGTCTCCTTTCTGCTTGATCTGCAAATCGAGTGGCAACTTTAGAACCGACGTGTCAAGTGTTGTTTCGGTAAACGGATCCCCCGTCAGAAACGCGCAGAAAGTGCCACACGAGCAGGTTTGGCCGTATTTAAGAGCAGAAAGACTGGAAACCGTTACACACGTACAGAAATGTTCCCATCTTTCTGTTTGTAACTTCTGCTATAATGTCCGCTCGTCCCAAGCCGCTCGTTTGATTCTAAAGAACGCATTACAGCACATATGTGCATATGAATTGTACATTTCCCACATTTTTTCTTTTGGCTCCAGAGCATTTGTAGTAGTTTGACCAATTACAAAAATGCATTTGTGCATCCAAAAGCCCATTTGACTATTGGACTGAATCGTCCCTTGTTCACTTTTTCTTTTTTTTTTTTTTCCCCGCTGCGTTCTGGTGACTTTTCTCTCGGTGCCAGAGCCTGAGCCCTGTGCTGGGCTGCTGTTGTTGTTGCGTCTCCCTCGGCTGCTGTGTGGCTTTGTGTTTTGTTCTGGAACCGGCGCCAAATACCGAGCGTCATCATTTGTCGGGCTCGGACCTCGGCACCACTTGGGTTTGCCAATAAGGGTGAACGTTAAGATCCCACCTTCTTTTCTGTCCCGATAACTGAAAGACTGGGACTTAAATGAGCTTTTGTGGTGGTGTGTGTGTGTGTGTGTGTGTGAGTATGAGCCACTGTGTGTGTGTGTGTGTGTTGTGTGTTGTTGTGGCAGCTGGCCAGCTCAAACTGTCCATAGCTTGCAAGGCTGGAAGTAACAGGCTCATTTCCCCCCCCCAGTGGGACGGGCCGGGCCAATGAGTGAAAACGGGGGGGGCGGTCGTGACCGGGCGCGCTGCAGGAATGACAACAGCGCACCACAGTCCGGCGGGCGGGTGGGGGGGGGTGGTGGCACTGGGCGGGCCGTCGCGGCCTCGAAGGGACGCTTTAAAAGTCGTTGTCGGAGATGCTTGCGGGTCAAAACAGCTTTGGTTCCCCAATCAAAGGGACCTGCTGTTGGTCCATCAATCGGGCCTCCCCTCTTGTAACAAATGTCCGCAGTGATTCATCGATTTGTTAAAATAGTTTGTCAAATACGGTTGAAATGACTAATTGCTGCAGCTCAGAACACGTCAGCCTCCTAAAAATAAATGAAGTGCTTTTCCTTCCTGAGGCCTCATATCGATGACACAAAACACGGACAACCCCGCTGCACTGCAGCTCTACTAGATGAACCCGTCCCGGCAGCTCGGGTCACCTGTGGGCCAAGGATGCACTTTATCCAGCAGCAGCGATACCTTTTAAATCACGTTGCTTTCAACATCTGTGATAAAGAATCTCTGCAGATGCTAAAAACAGACCCAGCTTTTCTGACCTGAACTTGTCCCTCCCCCCCCCTCTCTCCCCTCTCTCTCCTGTAGACCCCTGTCTCATAGTGACGCCGCCATGCATGGGCGACGACGACCGCTTCAGCCTGGAGGGCCTGCGGCACATCCACCAACAGCTGGACGACGACCACGACGGGGGAATAGAGGTCCACGAGAGCGTGGAGGTGATTTTAAACGTATCATCACGTGTCGTCGCTGACTTTGTAATACAAATGTCCTCCAACCAGAGGACAGAGGTCCCCCCCCCCCCCCCCCCCCTCCGGGAAAGGGCAGGGTCCCTCCCACAACCCTGGGCTGGCAATGGGGGGGGCCAGTTGTTTTAGCGGGACGGACGCTCCTAACTGGCGTCAACAAGTGGAGCGGCCTGATCCTCTCATTCCCACCGACACCGTCAGCAGAAATAAAGCAAACAAAAGGAACCCCGTCACATCACAACGCTGTTATCTTCCTGGCAGCTGGCCAGATGTGTCTGTCCCTATCTGGCCTTCGCGGGACATGATGGCCCCCCCCCTCCCTCCCTCCCTCCCTCCCTCCAGGCCCCTTCGCCAGCTAGTTGAAACCAAACACTCGGCCTACAAAGATCTTGCTTGCATGCTTTTCCCCTCTCTTATTTTGCGCCCCCCCCCCCCCCCCCCCCCTCCTGACACCTTTAATGACAAAATGTGAGACGATGACTCCGCCGAGAGGATGCTGGTGTTTGTAACGTTATAGCCGTGGTCAGGGTGTCGGCTTTTTCACCGCACGCACTTCATTGCTGCTTTATGAATATTCAGCGCAGAATGTCACGACAAACAGGCCCTTTTTATTTGGAATACACATTTTAGTGGGATCAGTTGAGCTGATGGAGTGTTTCTTTGAGTCTCCTGGTCGCGTTACGCTCCCGTCTGTCCCCTGCAATGTCCTCTGTAGCTCCACAACAGCCGGCGTTGCTAAGCTAAAGGGAAATGAGGCCTCACAGGCGCGTCGTCGACGTTTCCCAGTTTAAATCGTCGTCTCTTTCAAGCTCCAAGATCCCTGGTCACAGTCGCAGCTGACATCAACTGCTTCACACACGCGTGTGTGTGTGTCATCGTGATATCTGACATGAAGTGTTTTCGTAAATCATGGGCCCAGAAATGTGAATTCGAAGGTGGCCTCTGATTAAAACAGTCGGATCTCTGCGTCGTCCGCAGTGAATCCTCAGTCGCCTTTTTATTTTACGCTCCCGAGCGTATCGGTGCTCAAACTGCTGCGGGAGAATTTCATTACGAATCAATTCCTGCTGAACATAATCCCGCCTCTTATTACTCCGAGTCGCCGAGCGAGAGAGGGGGTGAGGGGGGGTTGTGTGTCCGTTGCTGAGCACAGTCGCTCGGGGACGGCAGGTGCATCTCCTCCTCCTGCTCAGATCGGGGGGGGGGGTCAGAACGTCTCGCCTGCAGCTCGAGTTCTATCTATAGGACGAAGGCGTCTCGTTCGGCCCACTGCCGCGCGCTTCATTCGCCAAGCGCCGCTTTTTAGCGGCGGCGCCGACGGAGACGCGTCCCGGGGCTTCGCATTAACGGAGAAGACGCACGTGCGTCTGTTGATTGTTTTATAGTTGCGTCCGCGTGGATGGATGGGATGGGATGGATTTCCACCCAGCGCGGAATGAGGCGCCGCGCGGACAACGGGGCACGTCGTGGCGGCCCCACAGACCCGCTGTGATCACCGAGGCAAATTCGGGGGCCTCCCCCGAAGAAAGCACGAGGACGACGCCTACTTCCTCATCTGTGCTGGGGCGGGGAGTCCCCTTTCCGCCTTATTCCTAAAATCAAATTCAAACCGCGAACTGCCTTCTTTGCTCGAATATATAAAGCAATTGATTGATTCAGGCTAATAACCAACTCCTTAATGTCAATGTTCAGTTCACCAAGGAAGTGAGATGCAGGGCATCTGCTGCTAATGGCGCACGGCGCGGCCCCTCCGGTACTCAGCAGGCAGTCGGCTCCTCTAGCCGCTTCCCGGCTGGCCGGCGGTGGAAGGGAGCTCATTTGCATTCGCGTCGAGCGAGAAGAGGACAAACGGGAAAGCAGGAAAGGCCTCGGGGTTCTGTCGTCCGGCGCTGGCGCGGCGAAAGAGCTTTTCAAGCCCAAATAAGGACTGTGAAAGCTTTAACTACTAACAAACACTAACTTCTGCATGGAGAAGAACTCGTCACATGACTATTTAGTCACATGCATCATGAGAACAGGACATTAAAACACACGTAGGCGTGCAGGTGCTCACGCGGGACATCGTCGGGCTCCGTACTGTATAACGTGTGAAAGCAGCGCCGCAGGTATGTCGTCTCGGATCTTTCTAAGACCAGGTCAAAGGTCGAGGGACGGATGCTGGCGCCCTTTCTTCACCGGCTTTTGTTGGAATATATTTGTCTCCTTTTCAACGGCACGTTTCTGTTTCCCCGTCGCCATGAGCAGGCGGCACGTGTTCGCACACCAACGCGTACGGCTCAAAGCGGCAGCAGCCGAGCTCCACCATCCCGCCTCAATTCTGCATTTGAAGTCTATTATTTCGCACGTTAAACAGCAACTGGGTGCGATACAGAGGATGTAGCTTTACTGGTTCCCCATCAGCAGCACAGCATTGGGGGGATTAAACGGGAAGTTCATGCCGTGGCCTCTCACACACACACACACAATCACACACACACACACACACACACACACAGGTGGAAGTGCTTTCTTTCTCTTTTCAAAAGCCCCTAAAAGGAAGAAAGAGCAAAAATCAAGTGTGCGTGTGATCCAAAGCCAACTCTTTACAGCTCTCTGTCAAACCCATGGACATACACGGATGATCACAGCCTCCCCCGGCCCCCCCGCTTCCCCCCGCAAGTTCTTCTTAGTGTAAAACACTTGTTTAACAGCCGGCTCAGGCGACTTATTTCAAAGCATTTTTATCTATATTTGTTGACATTAATTACATCATTCAAAAGGTGTTCTGCGTCTGCGAAAACTAAATCCCGCCCATCTTTTGCGTCCTAGTTCATCATCGAAGACATGAAGCAGCAGCAAACCAACAAACACAGCAACCTGCACCGCGAGGACCAGCACATCACGGTGGAGGAGCTGTGGAAGGGCTGGAAGGCGTCTGAAGGTAAAGACACTCGGATACGTCGTTCTACAGTTTATTTACAGCAGACCGTAGACATTAAGAAGAAGCAACGTAATGAACATGAGCGCGGCCCACAATAATATATATGATGGCGTATTTCATTAGAGCATTAGGAAATAAGCAGGAAAACCCCACTTAAGGGGATGTAGCGGAACCTGTTTATCTCACGACCCTCTGGAGACCAATCGCGCTCCATTTATTCTTCGCCGCATCCGTTTGTCTGTAAGTTGCTCTTAACGGCAACGTAATGAATCCCTGTTTCCCTCCTCCAGTGCACAACTGGACCGTGGAGGATTCGGTGCAGTGGCTGAAGGAGTCGGTGGAGCTGCCGCAGTACGAGAAGAACTTCCGAGACTTCCGGGTCACGGGGAACACTTTACCTCGGTCAGCACCGCCCGCTTAAATGCGTCCCTGTTGTCCATCGCAAATAAGATGGAAGATGTTGGTGTCTTGGTCATTATCGTCCTGCAGCTTCGTTCTCGATGCCGTTGCTTTGCCTGTGATTAAGATGTCTTAAAGAAGCAGCGACGCCACATGAAGATCTTTGTTCCTCTGCTCAAAGGCACCTTCAGTTTATTACGCTGTTCAATGCTGCCCACTGGTGGCCATCGAAGGCGCCACAGGGGGGGGAAATAATAACATTTGTCACAAAGCTGCCTTTACATTGACTTTTCTCTGCCTGCGGGTCCTTTCTGATGATGTCATCATTCAGCCGATAATCACACAGTAGAGATGAAAGGGCCAACAAAGTCGTCGCCGTGCCGACATCGCGGGAGGAAGTCAGACGTTGGCGAGACTTGTGGAGTGAGTGGGTGGGGGGGGGGGGGGCGCTGACTCATGAAGCGACGCGGGTTGCGTTTTCCACAGGCTTTGGCTCTGAGCCTTTAAGATGGCGGCGAGACGGCGACGCCTTCATCCCGTTAGGACACGGTTTGTTTCTCATAACTCACCGATGATTTTATTGAGCCGAGTGGATCATATTTTCCCCTTTGTCGTCCTGGATGAATTTACTCTTTGAGTTCCGCAGTAGAGAACCGCTTTTTCTATAATGTTCCGCTTCTCATGAGATGCGAGTTGACGTGTCAATGCTGCCGGGCATTGATCACCTCATTAGGAACCTCTCTGATTCCCCCAATAGCTCGGAACATTTTGCTCGACAGTCAGTCATTTCCCAGTTTTTAATGCTGCTGCTTTTCTCCCCCCCCCCCCCCCACATTTCAGAATGGCGGCAAATGAACCGTCGTTTATGTCGATGCAGTTGAAGATACTGGACCAGCGGCACAAACAAAAATTAAACCTCAAGGCACTTGATGCAGTGCTTTTTGGCCCTCCTCTCCGTAAGTATGCAGTTTGTTGACCGCCGTTAATCGTGAAAATCGCAAAGCAATTCCATTAAATACGCCGTTCCTTCCTCCCTCCGCAGGTGCACAACACAACTGGATGAAAGACTTCATCCTGATGGTTTCCATAGTGATCGGCGTCGGGGGCTGCTGGTTCGCGTATGTGCAGAACAAGTCCAGCAAGGTGCACATGTCTCAGATGATGAGGGACCTGGAGAGCCTGCAGAACGCGGAGCAAAGCCTCCTCGACCTGCAGAGCCGGTAAGACGAGCATCCGCTGTGCACACGTGTGTGAATAAGGTTTGAATAAATGCATTCGGTAAAGATCCACATGACGTGATTTATGGCTGACTTGCTTAGCTTCTCCGTGGCAGAATTATTGCACGTTAACAATTCGACCTACGCGCGGTCTCATCTGCCAGGCTGGAAAAGGCTCAGGAGGAGAACCGGACTGTTGCCGTGGAGAAGCAGAACCTGGAGCAGAAGATGAGGGATGAGATCAACGGCGCCAAAACGGAGGCCCAGCGGCTCCGGGAGCTGCGAGAGGGCGCCGAGTGCGAGCTCAGCCGGCTGAAATACGCCGAGGAAGAGCTGGTGCAGGTGGGCTGTGAACGCCTCGCGGGCGAAAAAAAAAGGATTCGTCGTTTATTCAAACGCTCAAGTGCAATTTACATATTCCAGCCGAAACGGTCAACTCAATCACCCAAGTGACGCGTTCGCCCCGTGCAGGTGCGCAAGGCCCTGAAGCGGGCGGAGAAGGAGATGCAGTCGGAGCGCTCGGTGCCCGAAGCGCTGCAGAAGTGGCTGCAGCTCACGCACGAGGTGGAGGTTCAATACTACAACATCAAGAAGCAGAACGCCGAGTTTCAGCTCTGCATCGCCAAAGACGAGGTAAGTGTGCCGCCCGCGAGCCTCCTTTCGGTTACAGGGGAACCGCTTCGGCGTCGCTTCATCGTGTGCCTTTCGAATCCACAGGCAGAGAAAATAAAGAAGAAGAGAGGTTCTGTGTTTGGAACCCTCCACGTGGCCCACAGTTCGTCCCTGGATGAGGTGGACCACAAGATACTAGAAGCAAAGTAAGACTACGGGACAATTCATTGGCCTATTTAGAAGAACTGCTTTGTGAAGCTTTGTTGGATCCGGGCTTTAATTCTTTACTGCATTGGATCATATCTGTTGCATACCTGACTTTTGCTTACGTTCACACGAAAAGAATCCAAGCACTCGCTAACCGCACGCCGGTGTGTGTGTGTGTGTGTCCAGGAAAGCCCTGTCGGAGGTGACGGCGTGCCTGCGGGAGCGGCTGCACCGCTGGCAGCAGATCGAGAAGCTCTGCAACTTCCCCGTCGTCAACAACTCGGGGCTGCCGAGCCTGACGGCGAGCCTCTACTCGGACCACAGCTGGGTGGTGATGCCGCGCGTCTCGGTGCCGCCGTACCCCATCGCCGGAGGGGTGGACGACCTGGACGAGGACACGCCTCCCATCATTCCGCAGTTCACCAGTGAGTGAGGGGGGGAGGGGTCGCGGGCGGATGCCGCGAAATGAAGCGCGTGGTCGGAATGAAAGTGTAACCCCCTCTTTTCCTCCCGCCTCGTCCCCAGCGGCCACGTTGATCCGGCCCTCGCTGACGCGCAGCAGCAGCCTGTGCCGCTCCCGCCGCAGCCTGCTGAGCTCGCCGCAGACCTCGCTGATGTCCGCCGACCCCGACCTGCTGTCCATGGCCGGCTCGTCCCTCTCCTATCGCGCCGAGGCCGACGACGAACATATCATGTTCAGCTCGGATAGGAGGGGGTATGTAGCGGTGGCCGGGACGCCGCGGAATGGTTTTACAGTTTGGACCCACAGGTGTTTCATCCAGACATTCACATTTACCCGTAACACCGTCGCGTTAGTTGGCGTCTAACTCAAACAGGCATCGTGTGCCGCGCCGCCGCTTTTGTGTTTTAGTTCGCACTAAAGTTAATTAATTAATTAAGTCCTATTGGTGTCAAACGCGCGCTATAATAAGGCTCAGTAACCAACCTGCGAGATTCTCTTTTAATCTTTCAAATGCCTCCGACAAAGAACTCTTCTGCCTCGTTCAAAGAGCCTGTGACATTTTGCACTATTTAACACGTTCTGAAAAATGGAGCCACCACATGGGCCGATTTTAAGCCTTAACCAACTCGCTTCTGTTCATCCAACAGTTTTCCTCTAAAACGTCTTGTGGCAATTTAAAGTTTGGACTGTCAGATTATTTAAAATCTATATTATATCTGAATCGAGAAAGGGCGACAAAATTACAGCGTTTATACTTTTGTAAATGTAGTAAAAGTACAGTTAATTACAGTTAATTAGAATAGACAACCAATTTATTATTATTCAGTGGATGTCATGTGACCCAGGCGAAACTCATTCCGGAAGCCTTCGCTCGCTCTGATTGGTCGGCTGATGGCGTTTCTGCTCTCCTCAGGGACCCGTCTCAGGAGGGCGGCTCCGACACGGACTCCCTCAGCTCGTCCCTGGGCCGCAAGCAGCTGCACAACCCCTGCACGCCGGCCTCGGACACCCCGTACCGGAAGATCTCCCGCGAGGAGCTGATGCTGTTTACCCAGAGTTCCGAGCTTCCCGCGTCCACCCCGGCCACGCCCACAACGCACAGCAGCAGCAGCAGCAGCCTCAGGGACTCCACGCCTCCTCCGGCTCCTCCCACGGCCGCCACCCCCTCCGGCCCGCCCTCCACCTCGCCCTCCCCGTCCTCGGAGCGCCGCTCGTTCGCACACAGAGGCTCGCCCGACCTCACCCGCGTCATCCCCGAGTCCCAGAGCCTGACCTTCTCCCAGGGCAACGCCGCGGCGGCGTCCGGCAAGGGCGCGTACAACGGCATCCTGGAGAAGTCCTACAGCTTCGGCCAGCTGCCCGCCGGCATGCTGCCCAGCGCGGGCCGCCACCCGTCTCTCACCTCCCTGGACTCGGAGGGCCGGAGCGCGGGGAGGGAACACAAGCTGCAGAGCACCTCCTCCCAGGACTCCAGCGACAATGGAGAGAGAATCAAGCGCTCCTCCTCTAAAATCAAAAGCTTATTTAAAAAGAAAAAATAATAATTAAAAATAAACTAAATAAAATTGTTGTTTTAGCACTAATACTGAACAAAAAAATATAAAAATGGACATCACTGTAAGCTGAAACATTTCACTTTCTCTCCATTTACTTTGGTCATCAAAGATGGAATGTAGCTCAGTCTGGGTGCCTTTAAACTCCTCAGGCTGGTAGCCTTATTTTTCAATAATGCCTTTTATTTAGTTCACTCATATCATTGCAGGGTAACCCGCAAGAGGTCATGGAAAGGTCAACGGTCACAATTTTTGTCATCCAGACAGCCCAAAAAAAAAAAAACATGACCTCTCCTTCCCGTCTATAGGTCGCGATGTGCGCGAGTGTAAAGGTGCAGTCCGTGACGCGCGTGTTGTGTTCCTACTGAACGCGTTCACGCCGCTCAGTAGCGACGGGGACAAACGGGTCCCAACTACTCCGCAACGTCCGAATGATGAACCGCATCTTTTCGTTGAGTCATAAATTCACGCGCCTGATTAAATTCAGAGAAACTAAATCCGGCCCAAAGTTTGTCGCACTACTGCATTCCTGAGCGGGCGGCGTTTGGAGTAAAGTTCTAGAGACGAGAGGAATGCAGCAGTGGAGACGCCAGAGCCACAATGATGTGATGCGTCTCCAATGCTGCTGATGGATCCCTCGATATACTCGTACACACTTTGTTTTCACGTTCTGATAGATGTCTTTAAAAAGCTTTACGCTGGTTGGGATTCCTAACGTGTGAACTGATCTTTACTGAAGAAAGTTTAGGAAATATGCAGATACAATAACACTATCCGCGCCCCCCCCCCCCCCCCCCGCCCTTTCAGAAATGGGGGAAATGGAAATGCAAAACCCGCTCTTTACCAAAGTGGGTGTCCCCACTTTGTTTCTGGGGTGTGGTGTGCCGCACTGCGCTTACTAGACTTATAAAGACTTTTTTATCTTATATGCAAAAAAAAGGAAAATCACTTACTTACACACACACACACACACACACACTAAAGCTCGAAGTCGACCCATGCAATACCCCTTCCCACATCTCCGGGCTCGCAGCGAGCGACTGATGTCAAGAGCCCCGCCCACCTCACACTGACTTCCGGTACCTGGCTGTCACTGCTTAACGCGACAGGCGGGGGGGGGCGTGGTCACGGGACAGATGCGACGCAGTGACAGTACGACGACACGAGGCTCCGGCGGCCTGTCTTTAGGATATTAAAATGAGGTGGTTGCAATAGAGCGCACAATGAAGGACGCGGGAGGCAGACGAGGAGGTGTGAATGTTTACGAGACGTTAGGTTGTTTTTTTTTTTGAGAGCATTCTCTGTGTGAATATTTGTATACTGTAGAAGAATTAATAAAAAAAATAATAAACAAATGGAGGCATCATAGATGTTGTGGAGTCATGTTTGCCGGTTGGTCATAGCTTTGTGCTCGATGTAGTCGTCGCTGATTCGTATTTCTTAACGCGAGTGAACGGGATGAAACTGGAGCGGATGCAGTTACCGTGATGGCCACATGGTGTCAGCGTCGCACCAAGAGAATGCAGCCATGTCAGCCACTCCCAACAGCAGCAGCAGCTGACGTTACACCGTGACTCCATCACTCTTTTATCCGTCCTGGCTCTCCGTCTGCTCGTTGCAACCGCAGGGTTTGTTCTAGTTCCCTAGAAGGAGGCGATCGGAAAAGGGCTGTGAAAGGAGCAGCGTACCTTGGCGCGCCATAATTATCACCAACAACTGCTCCAGTCTCTTGGATTCAAAGCGATCCGTTTATCTAACTATCAAAGTCAAGACTACAGCCTGAGCCAAACAAATTAGGCCAAAGAAGAAGTTTGTGAGGCCTTATCAGGGCACAGTGCACATTCAGAACGCAGGTGACAGGGTAAAGAAAGAAACACCTGCGTGTGCAGACAAACTCAATCTAAAGTCTCTGCAGCTGTTAGATCCACCTGCCTGGTGGATTCCAGCTGTGATCAGACGCCGCCATCATTACGAAACAGACGTCACTTCACAAGACGTCTCGGTTTCCCCCCCCAAAAAAAACACACAGATCCTCGTTTCCTGCGTCGTCTAATGGTTCTCCTCCGTCTCTCACCTGGTTGGAGTAGCTCGCCGGTTTGATTGAAGAAAATGTTTGCTTTACTTTTTAAGTTTGACTTTGTGAGGGAGGAAACTTCATGGCGTGCGCGTGCCTGGTGTTCCTGGTGTGCGGTGCTCGGCAGCGCCTCCCGCAGGGCAGGAGACGGAACAGGTTAAGGTCTGCAGACGTCTTACCTGCACCGCGACGGCGCCGTGGAGGAAGACCGGAGGACAGACCGGACGATGGGCCTGTTGCGTGTCCAGAACACCTATTAGAATAATATCAACACTGTCAGAAGATGTGACAAAGTCCACACAGAGTCACTGATGAAATACATTTACCATCATGACCAATGACTGCATATTAACATAAGGTGTATTCATTATAAAAGTATATAAAACCTTTATGAAATACGTTCGGTCGAGTATTTACTGCAGTTTAATGCAAAAAGACGTTCAAAATACTGTTATGCAACTATGACATGAAAAAAAAAAGGTTACTTTGTGACAGTTAACCAGGAATCGAGAATTTTTTATGTGAAATTAATAGAATTAATTTTGAAAATTTGATTTATAAACAGGTTTTTGTGTCTGGAAGCTTTCTGCCAGCAGCCAATGAAAGGTTACTGCAGCATGAGGCTTATTTCACCCACAGCTGGGCGGCAGTTATAGAGCACAGAATTCAACACTTCTGTAACCTGGATCCCATTACGAGACCGGCCGCTGATGCTGCGCGCCAAGCGAGTCGAGGATTTTGCTTTAATTTAGTTGATGAGCGAGACGAAAAAAAGAAAAAAAAAAGCCTGCATGCTTAAATGTAAAATTCCCGCAGGGTTTGTTGAGCGCTTTTCCAAGTGACGAGACCTTTCAGGCGGTTGTTGCGTTGTCCGACGCGAGCGCCATCCCAAATCTGCAAAAACAAGCGCACCTGACCTCCTGTTGGCGCTGCTCCGAAAATATTAGAATTTCTTCGACAGCGGGATATCAAGAGCGAGCGAGAGGAGCGATAAAAGAAACACACAGGATGAAAGAATCGCAACAAAAACAAGCGAATCAGCGGGATGCCGAGGTCACCGGGGCGACTCGCTGAGACGCGGCGGGGCGGAAAAGAAAAACAAGAGAAAAAGTTGTGCAACCGAAATAAAGCACGTCTGGCTAATTCTCACGGCTTTTGTCTCATTAAATACCTCGACCCGTCCTCCGCCGCACCGGCAACTTTTTTCTTTCTTAAAAGTTCCCGATTTCTTTTTATTTTATTTTTTAAAATCATTTCTACACGTGTCAACCCTCAAGGCCGATCGCTCGAGACAAAAGGCGCGGCGGAATTTGACGCCAGCGAATTCAGGAGCTTTGGCGGCCATGAATAAAACATGGCTTCTCCTTGATGTTACCCGGACTTATGAAGTCACAGATTCCCACTTTGAGCTCGCTGGTGACACGGCGCAGGAACCCCGCGTGCAAGACGAGACCTGAAAAAGATGAAGCTTTTATACGGCGCAGCCGCCAGGCTTTGACTGCGAAGAAGAGAGAAGTTCACAAACGGGAAGATTTAAAACGCCGCAGACCGGAGAGAGAGAGAGAGAGAGATCGACTTTTGATCAGTTTCTGATGGAGAATACGGATGGAAAGGAGGATTAAAAAAAAAAAACGCCGGCGTGTGAATCACACAAAGATGCTTCCTTGGCGTGCGCCATTTCTGCATATTCAAGTGCGCCGAGCTGTGGGTCAAATTAGTGATTGAAATGGGATTTGCTTTCTCTTAATGTCATCAATCACTAGTGGGTTGAACAGCTTTGGGCCCAGATATTTAAAAAGACAAGGGCACCCACGTGGAATTATTCTCACAGATCTTTTTATTCGCTGCCTTGTGGATTCGTCAGCGGCGAACACGTAGGCGGCTAAAGAGCTGCAACGACGTAAAGCAACAACATCTTGGAGGGATAATATTTGCACTTGATCTCATTCTATCCATCTGCACATTTGAGAGGAGGAGGGAGGGAGGCGGGGGGGATTTCGTTGGGATAAATTATGGCTTTAAGATCCCATTAATACCTACCGGGGAGGTGCTGAAACCCTCGCCTCCTCCTCGGTAGATGGCAGACTTGCCCCGCGCAGAGAAAAACACCCAAGCTGCTGCTGGCGTGTCCGACCACATCCACGCCGTCTGGGAGAGACGGATATCAACAAGAGAGGGACAGAAAAGAAAAAAAGGGACATTTTGTATTTGTTGTGCTTGAGAACAATGTTTGATTCATTAAGCGACGCATTCCGCTTCCAACCCCCCCCCCCATCCTCCCCCTTCTCCCGACCCCCCTGAAGGCTCATCAAGATGTCGTTATATGGTCAAAATGGGGATTTCTGTTCACCTCTACAGCTTGTTTTCTCTGATTTTTAGAATGACTGAACAGAAGACAACGCCATCAAATCCAGCGAAGGTGGACATCCTGCATCCCAGTGAACAGCTGGCCAGAGGTGCTACTGGGAGAGCAAACAAGGTCCAATCGCACAGCCGGGACGGATTCACATTCAAATAGTTCAAAGGGGGAAAGAACAGAAAACGCTTTTAAAGCAGACATACATGCATGCATGTATGTATGTATGTAGTATGTCGAGCAAAGCTAGAGAGCAACCTCTATGCCAGCTGGTTCATAAAGGTGGGGCAATAATAAAACACTATTTCATTCCATCCATCCCCACCTTGCACTTATTTCAAAGCCAATGAAAACGAGCAAAATTCTGCTACGATTTGACCGACAGAACCAACAAAACGGATTCCGATTCAAAACGACCAAAATCCTGATTGGTGGACTAAAGTATGTGACATCTTTTCCCCAACAAAGCTTCTGGCGAGCAAAACATCCATTTCACAACAGAAACCCTTTGAGTAACCTTCTCAAAACACAAAATACTGTGATCACGTCAGATGCATTTTTTGTGGTTAGAAGAGATTCAAATCTCTTTTTTCTTTTTTTTTCTTTCCCAGGACTTTTGAACCCAACATCGGCATCTTGCAGCACAGGAGTCTCGCCACAACCGACTGACTAGAAAACAGACTTTAAAAAAGGCGAGCTTGAAGAATGACGAGTGCAGATAACGGTTATTCCACTTGCTCGGTTTACTAGTATTCAACTTCCTCCTCTCTCATCCTTCGTGTGCAATCGAGTGCACACCTGGAAAATCACGCTCGACTCGACTCACTGTCGATTTGTCCTCACACCGAGACCT